CAATTTATTATTTCGAAAATTTATTTTTTCATTATATAGCCCTTTTAAAACCGTATAACTTTTGCCTGAAACATTTTTCTCTAAAATGTTCTATTTCCGAAATAAAGGGGCTGTACGGGTGGTCTGAATCACCTTGTATATATATACATATATATATGTATATACATATAAATGTATCATCTGAGGGCAAAAATATATTTTGCTTGTCTTACTAGTAGATGTTTTATAATCCTTTAAAAATTAAGTTGCATTTTATTTTACGTCCAAAAAACGGCAATTTAAATCATTTTCAATCAGTTAAAATTAATAGTAACGTAAATAAAACGTAAAACACGTGAACAGATTCAAGTGGACAATCAAGATTGAAGTATCGTTCAGACTCATTTTGCATTGCGTAACTTAATCGTGAAAATAGATAGATTGTCAAATTTTTCATGACTAAATTTACAAACGTAAGCGCTAAAAAATTAGGATTCTATGAAAACAAATAGAAATGATCTATGCATTATTTGTCTTCGTATATTTTTTGCAATATCATGAAAAAGATCGTAGTTTTGTTTTCTGGAAAAATGTTAGTGAAAATTTTATTATAATAGAATGGAACATCTCGTAGTTATCCCATATGTCCCAATGCCAAATAGTAATAACATTTTAGCTGTATGTAATTGTAACACGAAGTACAAATTGTATCATAATATGTAATAATTTATAGACTTGCGCACTTAATTAATGATGTGTACAGTCAAGTGATCTTTGTTCAATTCAGTACTAGTCTTTTGGTACTGTGTTCAATCATGTACCATGTACTAACAACTTCCGATGTTATACCTGCTGACATGGTTACCTTAACTGCTTACACATTTTCCATGTTTGTGCAGATTTTTTATTACTGCTGGGGTGGAAACAAAGTTACACTTGCGGTAATCTACAAAATATATATCTGACAATGAGCAGAAAAAAATATTTTGCAAGAGTTTTGCGATTACGAATCGCAGTTTTTAGTGACATTTTAATTATACTGATCGTTATTATTTGCGCAGAGTATTGAATTTGGCGATATGATATATGATTTGGATTGGGTATTGATGACAAATAGCGAACAAAAGGATTTGTTGATGATTATGAAACGTAGCACAAAACCTATCAAAATCACTAGTAGTTTTTTAATAACATTGTCTCTGAAATCATATGTCACTGTCAGTATTATAAGTTAAAAACTATCAATGTTACAGATGTTCCTTGCATATAATCTGTACTAAACTCTTATGTTATTTTACAGATTCTGAAGACATCCTTTTCTGCATTTAATGTTTTACAGCAATTGTAAAACTTTATTTGTTCTTCGGCAATACACTATGTATACATTAATTACATTAATAAATAATTTATGGTGGAATAGACACAATAATTCCTTATTTTTTTAATAAAAAACGGCTAGTGTCAATGATGCTAAACGATTATACAAGAGCCCCTTCACCACCCCCGCCGCGTTTAATCGACGGTCCTCTCTTCTTTACAATTTGGTTTCTCACATTTCTATTATTATAATTTACTTTACAAGGCATACAATATTATAAAAGAAATAATTACGTTGTAAAATTAAAAATATAATATCTGTACAATACAATATTTCTCTAGGCGGGCGTCTTAACCCCAATTCTACCACCGAAACATATCTAAAGCTAAAACTGGATGTCAAAACAAAAATGGATATCAAACTTCTGTGCTTTTTAGTTTAATATCAATGAAGTAATATTGTAAGTTTTCGAAAAGAATTTTACTCTGTGTGTATTGACTTGAGTTGATTTCCTTTTGTGGTCAACAGGCTTTCGAGTTGCAATGTCTTGTAATTAAACTTGCAGATTGTTGAATTCCTTGAGAAGGACCACAACTCGTATGGTCAAAACGTCAAGAAATATTATAACAAAGAAATATTATTTTACTCAAGAAAATTATTCATTAGGTGGCTCCTAATAGCTTATTAACTTAAATTAAGAAAATAAAAACAAATTAAAACATGATTTAAACGTGATTTTCGCTGCGTTTCGAAAGAATACGAAAGAATATAGAATCTGTAGTTTACAACTGGCCGACAGATGTCTCCGCAGTCTCTCCTGTCGATCCTTAAAATTGCCGAGCAAAAACGACGTACGATGGAACGTCAAACGGTGGAATAAATATTTTATTCGCACGTGATATAACATTGGTCGAGATTGTGGCGAGAGTCACCCAATATACGACCATGAATCCCGCGGAAGCTGAAACTGTCGCTGACCTGGTTCAGAATATGATTCTTTCTCTGTGCGGCGAACAGAAACCAGGTTAGTTTTCCCGAAGCTGCACCAATGCCGAAGATTTATATTCCGAAAATGTACAAGCTGTAACAGTTTTCCTGTCTTTTAGAATCAATCAGAAGATTTATGCGTTTTTCCCTCGGATTACTGTCGTCTACCCAGGGCATAGAAACACTGAGAGAGGACGAAGTAACTGTGGCAACGTATATAAAGAGCAAATTATCGCCACGCGATTCAGTGCAGTTTGATAAACTGCACAATGAATTAAAAGACGGGGTACAAAATCTCATAGTTTACGTCTTTCCGTGTCCTTCGTTTCGATTGTATTTACTTCGTTCATGTCTCTGCAAGATTTTGATATCAATCTTGTTCCCCTTTTGTCAGCCACTGAAGAATCGTATGAGCATTCTAATATTCCTGCTGAACATGGGCCAGTCGGTGGAACAAATGAAGGACAGAATCTTTTCGTTTCCAGATATGAAATCGGAGTTGAGCCCAATCGCGTCCACCAGTGGTAAGATCGACAATCGGCATTTGTCAAAGTATTATCTAATTGTTTCTCGTATTTAGGACAATCGTCGCAAACATCATCTTCTCAAGCGCAAATTGTGTCGTTAAGTACCACCGAGGCAAATTCGAAAGGCTTATTAACGAATCCCAGTAAAATGTTCAACGAGGAGAGTGTTTCGGAAGATTTATTAGTTCAGGACTTGATATACTCTTTTCAAAGTGTCGAGGGAAAAATTTTAAAGTTAGATTCCAGCTATGGTTTTCAGATAGATCCCATAGCAAAAATTAATAGATCACAAAAGCAAGCTGTATTAAGACTAAGCGAACTGGGATACCTGCATAGCGTAATACGAAAAGGTTTAGAGAGAATGTCTGTCGCTGGTACGGGCAGAGTCACCGATAGTTTTGTCGCTGCGTTGCATAAGGAACTGTCTGAATATTACAGATTCATAGCCATAATGCAAGAAGAGGTGAACAGGTAAGGAATTTAATGTATAATATCATAAACATGATAAATCTCTTTAGGTTGCCAGTAATAAATAACAATGGATCCGTTTAGTTGACCTTATTTGGCTCTTATTTAATAAATTCAATAAAAATACAAATACAATCTGGAAGATCTTCAATCTTGATCTTATCTGGAAGATATTCGAAGTTCATTATTTCACAAATCCAATAATGATTCTTAATATTTTTCTTGATTCAAGTATGAAGATTAGTTATAATTTAATATAATGATTATTGTAAAATACGTATACTAACATAAGTGTACTAATTGAAACAGATCACAAAATCAAATGATTACGTATGGAGTTACATTGTCCCACTTACATCTTTGGGCATGCGATCCTTTGGAAACTCTAAAGTGGTTAGCGAGTATAGTGAGAGCTTGCCAAGGGCAGAAAGGTGGTGCATTAGCATCTACCGTTTATGAATTCAGCTATCACGGAGATGTTATTGTCAAGAATTTAGTCAAAAGAGTTTTGGAAAGTGTTTGCAATCCCTTGTACAACATGTTAATGAGATGGATCGCTGATGGAGAACTAGACGATCCGTACAAGGAGTTTTTTATTCAAGCATGCAATGATGTTAGCGGAGATAGAATGTGGCATGAGAAGTATCAAGTTAGAAATTCAATGGTGCCATCCTTCCTGAGTAAGGCGCAAGCGAGAAAGATTCTAGGAACAGGAAAGAGTATTAATTTCTTACGTGAAGTTTGTAAAGACTTCTCACCATGGCAAGATAGGCATGCAGATGTGTTTAGGAATAGTGATGAGGAATATAATGGTATGTAATGAATTGGTAATTTGTTAGAGGATGATTTTAGTATCATCTTTTTCAATAATATGCTGTTTATACTTTTGTAATTTATGAAAAGTTTAGCTAATGTCAAACAGATCGCTTAGGCTTTGTCAAACTTGGAAGAGTACTCAATTCTTATATTGTTTATTTTCTAGTTGATATCTTTTTCGATATGGATCCAGATGGTCGTCTGCAAACTATGATGGATGCTGCTTATAAAGAAACGTCGGCAAGAGTTGTTGAGATACTGACGAAACAATATCATTTGATGGATCATTTGCAGGGAATTAAGGGATATCTCTTGCTTGGTCAAGGGCATTTTATTCAACATCTTATGCATTTATTAGAGTACGAATGTCTTTTGTTAATGCAATTAATATGTATTAATATAAGTATATTAAATGTATTGATAATATATAAGCATATAATATTTTTGCGTATCAGTATGCGTATTCTACATCTAAGAAATTGTTTTAATTATATATTTTAGGCCTGAATTAGCTAAACCAGCAAGCTCTTTGTATCCTCATAACATATCATCTATACTTGAAACTGCGATAAGAGCAACCAGTACAAAGTTAGATGATTTAGATGTGCAAAAACGTTTAGATGTCAGATTATTAGCACCTTCGGAAAGTGAAACAGGATGGGATGTCTTTATTCTAGATTATAATATTGACGGACCTATAGGAACGGTAAAACAATGTCATAATAATTACAATATTCAATCTTTGTATTAAATTAATGAATCATACGTAATGTATGGTCAATAATAATAATATGGTCAATAATTTCCACATCAGATTTTGGAGCCATGCAGACAGACGTATCAAACGGTCTTCTTTGCCTTATGGAAAGCAAAGAGAATGGAATCGATTTTATCTGCTATTTGGAAGCAACAGACAACGTCAGCGAAAATGTTCAGAAGAATGCCGGAAGTATTGCCCATCCAGAATTACATTCATCTAATTACTAGTAGTATGGTCCATTTGGTTCATCAAATGCAATATTACTTTTTATTTGAGGTAAGGCCATATTATTACTAACTGTAATATATTACAATTAATAAATAAAAATCTATCAATTGAAGGTAATCGAATGTTCTTGGGATACATTTACGAAGCAACTTCTCCAGGCGTCATCCCTTGATGATATAATTGCAGCTCACAGTCATTTTGTTGATTCCGTAAGGCATGGTACATTATTGGATGAAAAATCGCAGGTGAGTATAACAACATATTTATGGCAACATGTATGTAAACGAATGCATAATTCTTATACTATTCCTGATGTTATAGGAACTTATGGACCACTTACGTTCAGTCTACAGTCCAATACTGGACCTCCAAAATTACGAGGAAACTTTCCTTGAGCGTGCTACTCAGGAATATGAGGCAAGATTAAATGCCGATAATGGGCAGGAAACGAAAAAGTGGGGTCGTACAAATAAAAAAGATCAAGAAACTGTAGAAAGAGAAGCAGCATTTTCAAAATATCTGAACACACTCAAAACACAGCTGAAAGTACTTTCGAGAACCTATCAGGTAATAGAAAAAAATGTAAATTCTGTTCTTGTATACATATATAATTATTGTTTCATTATTTTCTACGATTCTCTTGCAGTAATAGAGCAATATTTTATATATTGTTGTTCATAATGTTTAAAATACAATGTAAAGAACGCTTTCTTTTTTTAAATGTATTTTTTATCTTTTCTCGAAAGAAAAATATATTTATTTTGTTTAAAAATATTAAATATATATTAAAAATTTTTTTCAGGATCGTGTAAAAAAATTTTTATTAATGCTGGCTTCAGCTGAAGATGTGTCGCTGCAGTTACTTAGTGTACGATTAGATTTTAATGAATATTACAAGAGTACAGATAGTCGACTAGTTGTGCCATTAACATATCAACATCGCAGACAAAGTGATCAGACTTTCTTTGGATGCAAGTGACAATTGGCAGCAGAAAATTTATTTGAAACCTTTAATGATTCAAGTCATCTTTCAAATAAATGCTGTACCTCAACTGAGCAGAATTCATCTGACATTAATAGTAAGGATACAAGCATATTTGATTTTTCCAACAATGGCCCTTCATTTTGTTCTTTATATCATGATACCACCAATTTTTTTTATAGACCGCACTCATCCAAAATGGTGACAGATGTCAATGACTCTGTCGCTTTGCACAAAGAAAGATGTAGAACCAATTTGAGAAACGTTGAGCTAAGTAAACGTACCTTTAGAATATTTTTGGAAAAACAAATATTGTCACATGTGGAGATAGAAATTCAGAAAAACATCCTAGAGCCGCAAACCCCGTTAACATCTCATTTTAATTTTGGCGACCTTGCTTCAAGTAAAATACGATTAACGCTTTCTCCGTTCCAAACAAGTGTATCGGGAGAGACATTGTCTATAAAAAATAATTTAACCTTACCAAATCTAGAAGCAAAAATATGTTCTAGTAATAAGGCTATAAAAATCACTAATGCAATTGTAAATCGTGACAATGATTCTGAAATTAATGTGTATGAGAATCCTATTAGCAAATCAAAAGTTTCTACTTATATTGCGTCTAATCAAAATACCTCAAATACTAAAATAAACACAACAGTTAATACAGAGTCCAACTATGCATCGATATATGCTAGCAGTCCAGAATGGTGTCAAGATAACGAGACTGTATCAGTTCATGGTTCTTTAATAAGTGAAACTAATTCGGACATTAACGCATATAATTCAGATTTAAGAAAAAGTACTAATCGTAAACGATATCGTTGGAAACGCATACTTTTTTGTTGTGTTAATTGAGTTCGATATTTATGTTACCAACAATCGAAAAATATATTTGAGATAGAGAAATCTGTTTCTGAAATTGATAATTTTCTTGTACTGAATTAATAATTCATGATATTAATATTAACTGTATTGATAAACATTGATTTATAAGACACATTGCTTTCAATTTCTACTATTTATCCACTGTTTGCTGTATCTGCAAGTTTTAGTATTTTAGTATTTTGTGATTATGAGAAAATAATATACATACAAAAGCACAGTCCACAAGCTACCTCTAGCAAATTTCGGTAATTGTAGAAAAGTTAAAAACTTTTTCACCGTATTTATTTTTCACCATAGAATATTGGTCAAATGGTACAAAGCAGTATCTTTCTACCGTGTTTAACTGTGTTTGGGTAAGAGTATTATTTTTATTTTACAATATATATTTGTGGTATAATAAAAAGTATGATTAGTTACAATATTTTTATTATCTGCGAAAAAAATTCAATACTTTAATTTTTATCAGAGATACATATAGAGATATACATTTTATTTGTGTAGATCTCTTATTATTAGATATAAAACATTCTG